CCTGATTTGATATATTGGAGACCTAGCATTGCACTTTTGCAGTATACTACAAGGCTGAACAAATATTCCTTTTAATTTGGGTATAGATTGTTGGACAAAACCTTACTAAAACTTTGAAGCATTTCATTTTTTTTAACAAAGTGGATTAAATGATCCCATTGATTTAAGTAATATAAATTAAATGTGATCCAATAGAAATGCAATAAAGTATGCTATCTCAAGACAGTGCAATATTAAAAATCTTTATACTAAGTGATTTGACATTTTCTCAGTCTCCCAATCTGCAAAAGGATCTGTGAAAAAATCAAAGTATCAAAGGTGTTCATTAAGATTTCAGTGAAAACTTCTGATTCTAAGGATTTCTGTTGATGGTAATAATTTTTAATACATTGTCATTGATAAGTGCTGCTTAATAAAGCATCATTAATTTTCTCAACAGACTTTGCTGATGGAAGCCTTTTTTCTGCAAAATTTACCATACTGTCATAAAACTGAAAATGATGTTCATAAGTCCAAAAGATTCTTTTGCTTTCCATCACAGTTCAGCTGTCATGTGACATTTCACTATATGACTACTATTATCTGAAAGTATTTTAAAGAATTTTTAAGTAATATTTTTTTAAGAAAAATGTAAAAAATATTATAGACCATTTGCTTTATATTTTGGTATGCAGAATAGCTTTCAGAATAATGACATTTTAGTGCAAGCTCTAAAGGTACATGATACTGTTGAGTGTGTGTGAAACCTATTCTGAGCCTTCCTACAATGCAGCTCACAATGTCAAAAGACAATATTTGGCATTCCACACTGTTATCAGGAAACTCTGGATGGTTTATTGCACATTGATTGTATTGATTGCAGCTGGAGGCATTGATAGCATAAATAGAGTGGGTTTAATTAGTCAGAACATGTGATTAGCTTTTCTGTTTTAATGAGATAAACTAGCTTCTTTAATAAAAAAACATATATTCTGTATTCACTCAGAAGAAAACCACAATAACCAGGAACACAGAGCACAGTCTGTGTTTCTCAGAATATTGCCAGTTGCCTCCGTGCTAGTCCTTGACTTTTGTCAAGGTCTAACACATTTTTCAGGATGCTTTTTTAAAATTCACTGAAACCCTCTGTCCCACACACACACTCATGCTTGCATTGCTTCCTAAAAGCAGCTGCAGGTTTTGCTGTGGAAGTTTGGTGTGACTGCTCAGCTGCAGCATCTGTCAGAATTCCTGCTGTAAACCCTCTCCTCAGAAGTTTATCCATCAACTGCCAGCACTTAATCTTCAGTGTAATTTAACCAAGAAGGTTTCAGCACTCAGGACATTTTTTTTAAATTTCAAGTTTTTAGGAGGTTAATTTAGACTTTGCTACTAACTTACAGAAGTAGTAAACCAGTTTTTAATATATACTGTGCAAAGGATTTTATCCTTGAAGGTAATACTAAGTCAACAATTAAACCCAAATACTGTAATTTTTTTTTACTTGTCTTGGTGGGAGGGGCTTGAATAGCAAAACTTTTTTGTTTTTCCTGGACATTGAGAGAAAGAACATGAACTGAATCAAGACTGTCTTAATAGGAAATAATAAACTTTCCAACACATCTCTGTTGCTTCTGTCACTGATTAAAACTTCTTTGCCTCCTTCTAGAACCATCAAAATCATTAGATCTTATGCTTGCACCTCCTAGAAAAGTAGTTATTTATCCACTGACTCAGATACATCAAAATAAATATTAATATAAAACTGAACACCTTAATATAATATTTACTCAAATAAATGAAGGACACAACCAAAGATAACATCAAAAAATATCCCACCTCTGATTTCTCAGACTTAATATTTCATGCTTCAGATCTTCCAGATATGAGACTTCAAACTAAAATTCATCAATTTCCTGAGTAATAAAAGCTATTCATATAGCACAAATACTTGTTTTAACAACATCTTATTAAATATTAAGAACATATTATTTAATTTAACAACATATTATTACCTTGTTCCCTCATTGTTTCCTATATGATTTGCCTCTTTCTTTTCCCTTGGAGGTAATTGTCTTACTAGCTTTCTTTCCTTCTTGCTAACATCCTACCTGCTTTACAGGTCCTATTTTCTTTAGGAATTCCCTGATACATGTTTTATATGAAAAAACACGAATCTTTAAATCTTCTGATTTATGCCAGACTGGTAGAACTGCATATGTACTCCAAAGCTTTTATATTTCGTAACTGTGTGTTGGTCTGACTAAGATACTTCCTTCAGAAGTGACCACTGTCTTTCTCTCTCCTTGCACTTTTGTTTCAGCAGTTGTCCCAGCAGAAATATTCTCTTTTCTGGCTCCCAGACATCGCTGCCTTTTGCAAAAGCTGTAGAGATTGTGGAAGGAAAGGCAGCTTGGGAAGCAGAGGTGTTATTTAGCACTCACAGTACTTCCTTACCTTCCCCGAATTTGATGCAGTTTCTCTGAGAGCTCACCTTTGCCTTTGCTGCCTTTGTTTCAGTGCAATTGTAGAGGATCAGGTTTGTGCTGCTGCTTTTGCTGTCAGCCCACTCCTGGGAGGAGTCTCCTGATTTTGGGGGCTGATTTTCAGGCAGATCAAACCACACATGCAAAGGACAGCAATGGAAAATGCCTTCTACCATGCTACTGGGTATCAGGCTGCATTTAGCTGTTATTCCTAAAAACTTCTGAAGCTTTGGTGTGGACACAGAGCCTTTGGCTGCATTCAGGGAACAAAGATAAGGTGACAGTGACAGACGTGGCTGTGTGCATGGGTTGTACCAACCCCCAGTGGCCTTAGCTGAACAGCAGGAGAGGGATTGGCTGTGAAGTTGGCCACATATGTGAAAATAATATGATGCCATAAGAAAATTTTAAAGTATGTTTTTTACATTTTGACATGATGGAAAATTCAATATCTCTTCCTTTAAATCTGCCATGCTACTTGCTGGATTTCTACACCAACAGTTCTGTTTCCTGTGGCGGAAAATTAGTTTTTTCCATTTTGACTGCAAACAGATAGGTGGTTGTCCCCAGATTCAACCCAGATTATGCACACATGCCAACAGGAGATGATGTAGAATCAATAACAAGTCCAGAAGTAGCAGAAAAACTAAAAAAAACCCAAAGCAGTCAGCATATTTTAGCAATTGTACCAGATGACTGAGCCTTGCCAGATTTCTCTGACAGAAGCAACTTGTACATAGATCATGAAGGCTTTTCAGAAAATGGAAGTGCATTACCTATTTCTTTGGTGTTGGACATTCAAGTTGAGACAATTACAGTCTGGAATGTAAAGAAATCTGCCAAGCTTTGGAAAAATTTATCCCTTTTAGACAAAGCCATGGATGTTGAAGTTACCTCTCCAGCTCTGGCTAATCTCCCTAGCCTGTAGCACAAGTTCACATACATAATGCTTTTGTGCCAGCTGTTGGAACAGCCAGACATAAGATGAATCAATCCCAAATCAAGTTTAATTTGCTCTTTAGAGCTGCACTGCCCCCATCAGCATGAATCAAACATGGGAATTTATCCCCTTCCATTCCTCTTGCCTTGCAGTGAAATAGGTTGGTCAAAAATGTTGGATCTGGTTCTATCAAAATGAGGTGATTCATTGAGGTCCCTCAAATTCTGTGTTCAAGTGTTGACTTGCAGTGGTTCAGTCTAGTTAATGAAGACATGGAAGCTTTAATGTGTTATAGCTCTGTACTGCTGGAGAGGAGAGATGGGAATTTAAGGAACCATCAGCTATGCACAGTGTGCAGAGATTAATTTCATATGTGAAAAGAATTACAAGACATGCTCACCTGAACAAAGAATGTCTTTGTGACATGGATGTGTCCTTCCAGGGCCATCCTTCTCTGATAGATAGTATAATCTGAGTGACTTTGTCACTGCACTCCAGTTTGCAATAAAAAAAATGTGACAACAATAACCATAAAAACAGCTGTTCTGTTTTCCCTTCTCTGAGCTGCAACAATCAAAGGCAGTGTTTCATAAAGTGGGGTGTGTGAAAGGAACATTGACCTTTGCATGAATGCACGATAGCATGAGAATAATTTCCAGAAGTTATGACACTAGTGTCCAGGAGAGAGACATCATTTGTCCATGAGTAGAAAAAAGTACTCTCTCCTCTGTGGTGAAGATCCCATCAAAATATTTTTTTTACAGAAGTAAAACGATACAGGACACCTGTGATAAGAGTCCTCCATATTGTCATGCCAGTAGGTAGAATCATGTTATGTTCAATAACAAATTTTTCTCTATTACATACAAGATTTTATAATAGGAAATGGATAGAAATAATTATTTATAATGTATATGCCTAAGAATTTTTCCCCCATATCAACAACAACAACATCCAGACTTAATCCAATGTTTTCTCTTCAGAAAACTGTTTGTGGCATCCATTTCTGTCTGAGCTCAGCTCTAACTCACCCCCCATCCAGACAGGGAATGTCACACCACATTCTGTGTCTGTCACCCTACTGCAGGGGCACCAAGCACTGCCAAGTCAGTGGTATCCAAACCAAACACATCTTGTGATTGTCTTTGAGCCTCTTTCTTTAGAGGGAGTAAGGATTTTTAATCAAATTGACTCCCACAGGTTGTTCATTCCAGGCCTTTATTCCTCAGAAAAAGTCTCTGATGGGTCCTGTGGGCTTTCGGAGGATAACTCTGTGTGATACTTGTACACCCTGTGCTGAGAGAGCACCTGCTGAAATCTGAAAAGTAAACCTGACTTTTCTGTCACTAAAATCACAGATTTTAATGTGAACAGAAGAGGTGAAAAGATCTGAATGGAGAAAGCCTTAACATTTAATAATTATATTAACTGTAAAGTTTCTTTTTATAATAATAAAATCCAGCATGATTTTGTTTCAGAACACTTGACAACCTGCAGTTTCTTTTGTTTGTTTGGTTTTTTTTAATCAAAATATTAGAAAAAATGGGAACAAAAACTGTGTTTTTATAGGTGATATTTTGATTTGTATTTTTCAGGGACTTGTTAAATGTGTTCAGTCCCCCTGTCATTCCTGGAAGCCAAAAACTAGAAGAGAGCACTAAATCTTCAGCAAAACAGAGAACTCCAGGTAGGAATTCACAATGAAAAGAACCTGGGTAGAAAGACACTTCTAAATGTTCTTTCTGTAGTGCTGGTACTGCCTTCTCATAGTTTTCTATCCTACTACTTTTTGGTTTCAAGCTCCCTTGTTTATGAGTCTCAGCTCAAGGTAGCAGAATTTTCCATGTGGTATTATTTGCCTTGCTGGAAGAATAACATGCAGTTGCTGTTTCCTGGTGTTCTGGCTCTATACAGATTAACTCATAAAAAATGCATCTTATTTGTTAAAAATAAGGAATTTATGCTAATGGGGATGGCAAACCTACGTAAGAAAGAACACAAGGACTGAACATTCCTATTCAGAGGCATGATTACACTTGCATAAGAGATGCTTCTCTTATGAAGAAAAATTGCAGATTTAGCTTTAAATGAAATCTTAGTGTGATTTCCTGAGGACTGTTGTCACCAGAGTCACAGGCTTTTGCTTATTAATGGTGTTTGCTTAGAGAATGGTAAAGACCTTAACTGAAACTGGAAAGTCAACAGCAGAATAAAGAAAATACCTTGTTTTCCTCAAATGCCCTTTTTCTTATCAGTTATCTTAGGAAACAGGGTAGAAGGATCATCATCTATTTTATGACAGAGTATCACAAAATGGTTTGGGCTGAAGGGGACCTTGGAGTCCCGTTCCAACCCCCCCTGCCAGGACAGGGACACCTTCCCTCAGCCAGGCTGCTCAAGGCCAGCCCCAACCTGGCCTTGGACACATCCAGGAGAGACATTTGCATTTTCCTTCAGGTCTCAGGAATTCACTGGGAGCGCTCATAAATCTGACCCCTCTATTCTGGCTGTCCAGGGGGTAAAGATGTCTCAGTGATTTACTGTCTAAAATAAATTATGCCCCTCACATTGGGGATATTTTCATAGACATAGACTTGTAATTGTTTGTGACAGCAAAATACAATTTTTCTGTCAGGAAGGGACCTTGCTTTGAAGAATCAAGTAATATGTTGTGTAAGGGTCCTAAATAAGCCAAGCAGAATTGAACAGTCATCCTTGAGCTATAGGCACATTGGATAAAAATTCATGAAAGGTCCCAGAGAATGTTTTTCATTAGTATTATGAAATCCAAGGCTTGTTGCAGTAAACCTGTAATTTTTGTAAATGTTTTAATTGTGTTTTAATTTTAATTATCTTTAAAAAGCTTTAAAAATAAGTATATTTGGGAAGTTGTATTTTTCCTGTTATCCACACTAGAATTTACAAACTGTTTTGTGAATTGTTCCTAAACTCATTTTCCTTTAGGCTGAAATATTTTATATCATGTGCCTGTGATTGCACATTTGGGAAAGAGAAATTGTCTATATATCATAGCTTTTTATTTTGGCTTTTTATTTTTGCACCTTCATTCAGTCAAATTCTGACTCATGTATATGTAGGATGTTTGTAATTTTGATAACTTCATACAGAAACTTTTCTATCTCCAGATACTCAAAAAACCCCGCTGTAATGAAGTGGTCATTTCTCCAAGAAATAAGAGAGAACAACAAAGCCTTTCCATGACCTTCCCTCCCCAAACAGGACAATTTGGATTTTTTCTGAACTACTGGACTCCCCTCTCTATGAAAGTGGCAGAGAAGCTGCAGTGCTGTGTGAAAAAGGCCTGTCAGATTAGATCACCCCCACCAAACATCAGAATCTGGGTATTCTCCTAGATACCTTGGTTTAAAAAAATCCTGATGGACCATGGTAACTAGATGGTTTGGAGTATCATTTTTGAAAGAGGTGCTAAATAAATTGTGTCCTGTGGTGTAGCTTGAGGACTTTGGGAAAATCTTTTTTTCCTTATTCTCTTCACTCAAGGTCAGTTATTTGTGTGGCAAAAGAGCTGGTTCATTACTGACAGTTTTATACCAGATCTGAACAACAAACTGAATGCTCAAATCCATGCCAGAAAATTCTGCCCTGCTTAGCTTCACCTCTTTTTGATTTTTTTAATATCACATTGGAAAACTACTTAATTCTCATACTGGGAAGTGTCCCAAGATTATTTACTCTGTAAATAATAAACACTACTCTGTGCAGTTTTCCAGTGTTCTAAGTATCACAGGATAACAAAAGCCTATAATCAGCCCTGAAAATCTGCAATGAGTCATAATGTATTCCAGATAGGAATTTTATCTAAAAGTATCCTTAAAGAAAAATAGTATAGCATTAGTAAATTAATAAAGACTGATCAATTCTTATATTTAAAAAAAAATCTTTAAGTTGAGGCTTAACTTTGGGGGGGAAAGTGATTCCTTTCTAAGAAAGTATTTCACTCTCTAGTTCCTTTCTTAACATTTGCACCATCCATTAGTTAAACGGTGAGATGCAATGAAAAGTAGTCTTCTATTCAACAGGTTTCCCAATACAATAAGAGGACAAATTGGATTCATAAATATGATAAATTTCCATAGATTTTTCCATTATTGGGCACTGATATTTCTGAGGTATACACAGTTTTGTATATCTTGACATAGCAAGAAAATCTCCACATTAAGTGACAGTGGCAAAGCTATAATATTCTGGAACTTACTTTATGGTATCTTCTCTTAAGACCAAGGGATAAGGTTATAAAAACTCTAGGAAGGACACAGACTTCTTTTTTGGGCCACAGCTGCTGACAGTGTTCATATGGTAACCCTGCAGTACATAATTACAGGGTAGATTTCAGCACTGTGGTTCAAGGATCACCTTGGAGAAAATATCAGCAGTGTTCTTTCCACCACACCATCTGCTGAGAGCTTCCATCAGTGTCAGAATATGATCCATATATCTTAAAGTGAGATTTGCTACAAGATGCTTTCTAATATTAAAACCTAGAATTTGATAAAAATATATTTCTGTGAAAAGGGAAACCATTTATTTTAGTTCTCCAGACTGTGGTGACTATGTAAACACTGTTGACATAATCCAAATAACAACACAGCTATTTGTACATTCATTTCTGAGTTCAGAAAAAGCTGCCACATGCCTGCCTGTTCTTTGCTATCTGGGTTTAGACATCTTGATCAAGTCTTTTTCCAGAAAAACAATAGCTCCCCTGATTTCAGTGGGACAGCATTTCTTTTAGTATAACAGGTATTTGCAGGTACCAGCTACCTTCAGTCTTCTTTCAGCTCAACCAAAAAATCACTCATCCCTCTTTAATGTACATCACAGACCTCAGTTTTCATTTAAAGTCAAATTATTTTCTCACCTAAAATACCATTTAATTTTTTAGTGATTTAAGAACAAAAGCTTTGATTTTGCTTTCACCATGAGATGCAAATTAAACTGCAAAGAGTTTTTTTCATGCAGTTCTGAGCAGCTTCAACCCCAAAAGTGTGGGTGGTGGCAAGATGAACAGTGATGGAAATTTTATTTGAAAGTGACCTGTTGACCAGTTAATTTGGCCACAAGCACTTCTTTCCTATTTATGGTCAGGTTGCCCAGAATGTACCACTTGAAATAAGAATTACACCTTCTAACACAACCATTACATACTACTGGAGTCTTTTATAAGGATATCACTAAATTTAAGTAGTACTTCTATTCAGGAAGAACAGCAATGAGGTTTTCATATGTCTGCTCAGAACTGAATACTCCATGCTGCCATTGGAAATTTGTTGCAACACCTAGAAATGCCTTATAATGCATTTGGGGGTCTTGTGAGCAGCTAAAAGAAAGAAGCCTGACTTTAAAAACAAGATAGGTCTAAAAAACTAACTTCTCCTTTTGGTCACATGAAAATACATGCAGGGAATTATTGATGTAAAGGTATAAATCCAGCTAGTCCTGGATGCAATATAATTTTGATTTGGTATGAATTCAAGGCACACAGGGAAAGAGGTATATCTCTGATGGGGCTGAAGAATTTCTTATTCCTAACTCAAAGAGGGAGGATATTGAGTGGCCAGTTCCAAGGTAAAGAGGGAGGGACATTTAAGCTTAGGGGAGAAAAGAGAATAATTTTAATTTTAAATAGGCACTGGAAAGGAAAATAATAAAAGGAAGAATGCAGTGGAAATAACAGCATGGTTTCAGGTGAAACTGTGAGGCTGGGTGAGGGAGTGAGGCATGAACACCATTTGCTTGTGTGCTGTGATCTGAAATGGAGAAGAAGACACTCAGTTCTTCCCTTTCTTTTTGCACTGCATCACTTTTCCCAAGAGGTGTCCAAACAAAATATCCCAGTTGATCCCATGTAGTTTCCCAGGCCTGATGAAGCACCCACAGCAGGGAGGGAAAGAATTTGGCTTTACCTTCTTATCTTTGGTCAGGGTGAAGGACAGATTATTTCTGATGGTATTTGTTAGATGCTGCTGAGGAAACAAAACTGAAATCTCTTCTGAAGGGATGAGGTGCACGCTTCTGTATGCATCAAATGCACCAAGTTATCTCCAGATAATGTTCCCTATTTACTGCTGTGTGATCCTGGCTGAAAACAGACTCTGAGAGTTGGGAAACCATTGCTGTTTGCATAACAGGCCATTACTTGTCATGGAGCTTTGGGGCGTGCAAAGCACTCAGCATTAGCAGGCTGAGGATGGGATGAACATTTATGATGAAATTCAAGATAGAGATTGCATTCAGCTGTGAATTATCTCCTATCAAAAAGCTGTAGATCATCTGACTTAAATTTAGCTTATGTGAAAGACACCCAGGTTCAGAAAAGAAGCTATAATATATAAAGCATCTGTAAGAAAAGCCTGTTGGGCTTTATCAGTGTATTTTAGACTAAAGATTCATTTCTGTTACCTGAAAGTTTTCTTGCATTTTATGTAATTTGAGACAAGTTAGATTTAAAATTTTTATTGTCTGGAAGAATCTTTTTTCCTCTCTGATATTGAAAGATCTTTTGCACAGATTTACCTATGCTGGATATTTAGGTGACATATTGGATACCAGACATCCAAATTCTTTCATTCTTACAGGCCTTAAGTATGCACTGACTGTCTTTGTTCAAGCTAAAGAATTATTAAGAAGGTTATTGAGGAAAATATCACTTAAGAATACTTTTATCCACTATTAGTAATGGTACTTTGGGTGAACTGCTCCGTTGAACTTTGAAAAGTCCAGTTGTTAAGCAAACTCCAGCTGACCTCATTTCATCTCAGTTAAGTGCAAGTCTTCAGAAATACAATAAAAATGTGAATTGCTGTTATCTTGAAGGCAACAATTCAGAAGTCAGAAGATTATACATTTGAAGGAAAAAATCTCACATCTGACAGAAAGATATTTCCATGCTATTGTTTGAGGGAATAAGAGTGATTTATTCTTACTTTCTCCACTTCACACAGGTGAAGATCACCCCAGTGCTGAAGAAGATGAGGAAGTTTTGACTCTTTTGTATGATCCATTTCTGAGCTGTTACTTTGACCCGAATTCTGGGAAATACTATGAATTGGCATAGTCAGAACATCAGAGGATATTATTTTGTATTCATAGTATCTTCTAACTTCTTGCAAAATCTGACTGAGCCATATAATTTAACTTAAAACTTAAATTAAACAATAGTTTTACAACCAAATTAATATATTTGACAAACTGGGTCTTATTTTTATAGCTTTGTATTAAATTGTAATGCAGTGGAAGATCACATAGCATAATAGTTCCTTGTGTCTAAGACAGTTATTTGCTAGTCTAATTTATTTCCAATATTCACAGCTTCCATATGGAAACAAATGAAGCTGAATCAAGAAGGTTGGTGGTGTTTATGTGTAAATCATGGGTTTACTCAAATAAAATTTAAAAAACTTGTTTACTTATTTTGTTCACTTATTTTGTGAGGTGCTGAGGGTACCAGCTACCATCAGCTGCAACAACACAGGGCTGAAAGGGGTGAGGGATTGGCCAACACTCCCGAAGTGGAGTCTTGTTCCAGGTAAGGCAGGCAGGTGTGTACATGGTTTGTGAGGGAAGCTGTGATCAGGGGCAGGTCCAACATGTTTGTGTGAGGTTCTCCACTACACTTTGCAATAAAATAATGCAATTTATTTTATTTTTATCTCTACTGGGTTTCAGTGCAGTTTTCAGTGAGGGCCCCAAGTTCCAACTTGGAGTTTTAAATTGCCTGCATCACTGTGCATTTTGCTTTTATGGTATGTAAAATAACTTTACACAAAGAATACAGATAAAGAGCAGAACATATGTAGCATTTGAAAATGAAATCACTATATAAAATTAATCAAACACCATGCATGTATTTTATTTCTTTTATTTATTAATGTATTTATTACTGTGCATGGATACTGTGTAGTGTTCTTTGATCTAAAATCCAGTTAACCCGACCCTGATGTTTCTGGCTGCTGCTCAGCTCCAAGCTGTGCCCAACATTCCCAGCCCCAGAGCAAGTGCAGTGCTGCTTGCCAAGAGCATCCCCCAGCCAGCAGGACACTTGTCTAAAGGGTAAATAAATCACTGAAACACCAGCTGCCAGGAACAGGAGAAAAGGTGTTGCTTAGGAGTTGTCCATGACACAAGAAGTCCAAGGAGTTTTGCTTTAATGGAGTTGAGTCAGTGGAGCAGCTCTGAGTCCAGCAGTTCAGTACACAACACTTTCCTGGGGACAGCTGAAGGGAATGTGAAAGTCACATGGCAAAGTGATCTACAGGCATTTCTGGTGATTCTTGTTCTAAGTTTCTACTTGAATATATCCAGTGCTATCCCACTGTAATTATTTCCAAGCTGACTACTCAGTGAATTTTTAAGAATAATGTATTTGAATGTCATAAAGCGAGCTTAGTAAGCTCAGTGCAAGTGATTTAAAATTATATGCCTGTAAATTATATGTAATTGTAGATCCCAGTTAATGAATATCCTAGAATCAATTGAAAATGCAGTTGTTAATAGTGGCTTGGCATAAGATCAGATTGTGTATTTGGCTCTGTGGCAGGTACAAACATATCATCACAAATTGATTCAAGGAAGAGTAGCACTGAAATCCACAGGAAGACAGATATTGCACTGAGATAATTTACTTACCCTGCCTTAGCCAGAAAGATTTGTACCTGTTCTTGCTAATGCCATAATCAGTTTAAAAGTTCAATGAAATCATAATTTTTATTTTCAAAAACCAGGTGCTGGCTTGTATATACCTGTGCATATCTGGCCATTTCAGCATCATTTAGTGATCAGGACCACACTCCCTCTGTGTGTGGCAAGGGTATTTCAAATATGTTATTAATTTTCTTTCATAGCCACATGTTTCACAGGAGAGGTTGGGTGTTCCAGGGCACCACTGTGAGTCCAGACTGGGTCCTGATGCATCTGAGGCATCTCTCCCTTGGGAGAACAGACCCCAGCTAAATACTGGCTGCAAACTGGTGTCAGGGGAATTGCGTCCCAGTGCCTGTCTGGGTGGATGTGCTTGTCCTGGCCTCACAGCAGGCACTCACTGACCTATCACACACAGAAGGGCACCAGTAGGCATCCAAAGCTTGGACAAAAGGGACTCCTTGGAGACTCCACACTCTTATCCCCATCTCTAATGAGCTAAGGAGTCAGGTGAGCAGTGATAGTAGGTTCAGGGTGAGTCTGTTGTTCCCAGTTCACAGTCAAGCACAAATAGGATCTGTTTTCTTGTCATTAACACAGTAGTATTTTATAGGTAAGCAGCTCTAACCTGCTTTTCAAAATCAGCACTTTGGGATCCTTGCCCTTTGTGTTCTAGTTAGCAGCTTTATGTCTGCAGCATCCGTGGGGATTGACTGCACGGTGCTGTGAGCAGCACCTCTGGCTCGAGCAGCACGAGAGGCTCACAAGGGCTCTGAGTTTTGCTCACAATGTTTTTCTTAATCATCATCCTGTGAACCTCAAACTAAAGCACTGCTGACACACAGCAGGTGCTTTGTTGAGCCAATTTGTCAAAGCCAGCAGTTATGGCAAGTGATGAGGAACACAGAGATTTGCTCTTAGCAGTCATGTGCAGTGTTTGAGGCCATGAGAATCACAGAGTTTTCACTAGAGCATGCTTTCCAACAGGTAAAAATACCTGTGTCTGGGCATAAAGTTTCATAAATGAAACTGCAGGGATTTATTTCTACAAACCTGGCATCAGTTATGATTTTTGGGAACAGAAATTTTGAAATACAGTACATTTTAGTAAGGCTTCATTAATGTTCCTTGGACCTGCATTAAAAATAGAGGAAGTTAGCTTGGTAGAGCTGCTGGAGTCAGCAGATCACAAGTCAACCAATTGGTCTCTCAGGCCTTTCTATGTTCCTCACAGATGTGAGATGTAACTGATATCTCTGCTTTGTTTCTGCTTGCTAAGAAACAGTCAACCAGCTTTCAGATAGTTCAGAAGAAGAAATCTTTAAAATACACTTTACTGCTTTAAAGCACAGCCCAGAGCAGTGTGTTTCTATGTTACTGGAATGATTCTCCTCATCTCTCCTTCTTTTTGTCTTAGGTCCTTCTACCATGGTTTTCTCCAAACTCCAGCCAAATTACCAGGTTTCAGCCCTCGGGTGTCTGTGGAGAGCAGCAGCACTGAGGTGCAGATCACTGACAGCCTGGCACCTCGTGCTACCACGTGGACTCCTCCCAGCAGCTCTAAGACTTCATAATCTTGTACCCAAGTGTTGTCTGTACCTGAGCCTCATTATGCCAAACAAAGAACACACTCTGTCCTAAGGAGCTTACAGTAAGAAATCAATATTGATTTTTCTCCTCTGCTGCCTGGGTTACTAGGTGAGAAAATATGAAAAGTCCTGCTTTATTATTCACATATTCTTCAGCCATAAAGCATTCTGCTCAGAGACTCATCCTCTAAACACTGAGTCAAGTGGCAAAGATACACAGGCTGGAAAATCCTGGAAAATAATTTTGCATAATGCATTTCATATTCAATTTCTTTTTCCACGGGGTATTTCTTTTTTTCAAAAAAGGGTTTAATTTTTTAAGCAATGGGTTACATGTAAAATGAAAAGACAATCCAGTCTTTCCTATGTGATATTGCTGATAATCACTGCTTTTCTCGTGGTTACTATAGAAACTTGGCATCCTTATCTGCCACTTTTTATGGCACTTGAAAAAAACTATTTGAACTCACTTCCCTGATAAACTGAAAGCTTGGCTTCACAATACCCATGGGAATATGTAAGTGTAACAACAATATTTGTCATTTCTTCTTATTTGGTGTTTAACCTGCTCATTAGCAGCTGTAGAGGCATTTCTGACTGTGATGTTCAGGGATCCTGCTGCAGGCATTGTCACCAGCACAGATGCAGAACTCCTGGATGAAAGCCAGGAACAGCCACGAGCTCCCGAGGGCTCACATGCAGCAGCCCAGGGTGCAAAGACCCGAGCAGGATTTTGCTCCTATCACACCACTCTAAAAGCAGTTCTGTTTCCAAGTTTGACAGTTTTCAAGCACACAAATAATCTGTGGGCATTAAACTGCTTGGTAAGAGTGATTATGAAGGTTCCTGTGGTAAATCAGTGGTGAATCAACAGCCTTGTGATGCTTTTAATCCTTTTCCAAGTATGTGCCATCCAGTCTGCATGGCAGAGGAGAGTGGGCTTGGGCTGGGGATGCTGAGGAGCTGAGGCATTTTTGGAGGTGAGTACAAGGCCAGTGCAAACACCAGGTGTCCCAGCTGAGCACAGCTCCCCTGCAGTTTCACATTTCTTTTGTTCTAAGGGCGCCAGAATGATGCTTGTAACCAAGGTTGTTTTTCTAGTTCTGTCAAAATGTGGCCCAGATGGGTCCCTCTGCTTACACAGCCCCTGCCCTGGTGTCCTTCGAGATCTCTGCACAGAAATCCCCTCAGCACTGGAAGAGAAAGGAGATGGCAACACCTGAACAGATGCTGTTGGCTCCCAGCCCTCAGCTCAAGGGTCCAGCGTGGCTGCAGGGGCAGAACATTCTGCTGAAGGCAGAGCATGGGGGGATCCATCCCTGCAGCAGATCTCAGGGTTTTAATTTGTTATCATGTTCTTTCACCAGGAGTTTTGAAGAACAGACAGGTTTGAAAGATTACAGAAACAGGTTACAAAACAGCAGAAGAAAAATGCTATCAAGAGCCATTAAATAAAATGCAATTTTACTTTTGCATTGTGACTGGAGTGCTCCTGGGGACTAACACTGTGTTCTCATCCCAATCCTCACAGGTATCCTCACCTGGCCACTGCCAGAGGGGAGGTTCAGGCCAATGGTGGATCCTCTGCCCTGACCCACAGAGCAACAGTAAAATACTTTTCATAAAGAAACCCAGCTAGGCTCCCAGTACAAAACTGCTAGTGTACTTCAAAAGATATTTACATTAGACTGCTGAGGGGGTTCTTTGATGAAAAAGTTTATTATTGGATGATTGTGCATTTTATCTGCATGGGAGACCAAAAAACCTGAGGTCACAGAAATTACTGACGTTGTTTTAGAGCACTGCATATTTATTAGACCATCTGCTG